CCAATACGCTCACTAGACTGTTTATAATTCTAGATATTTGTAAAAATTGAAAGCTTGCCTCGGCATAAACACGAAGACTTGTCATCATACGCAATAAAGACTTGATTAATAACCGATCAATCTATAAAAGCGATTACTATCAATATATATAAAAGATTATACTAGTACACAAATCTGGCAATTGAAACAAAACGTTATCTGATGTTATCTGATATTGAAACAAAACGTTATCTGAGTTTTTGTACGATGAGCAGACAATCTATATTGTGGATAGATTTGTCTGCTCATCGTACAAAAACTCATCCTCGTTTTATTAGCATTAGCTCGATTTAGGATGTTATTTTTGATTATAAACACCACTGAGCTAAGTACAAAAAGAATGGATGAATTTGGCGACGTTGATATACTACTACTGACTATTTAACCAAGTATGGGCAAATACGAACCAGAGAGCTAAATGTAGAAGGTATCATTACCAAGACTAATTCTAAATTCTTTAGTCATCAACTACCTCAATTCAAACCATTAACCAATCTCCAAAATTTAAAATCCCTCTCATTTCATCTTCGAAATGAAACATCACAGGAAGGATCAAATATTTCATCGCCTACACACCAACCAGCTATATAAATGACACAAACTCACTTGTCCACCTTCCCTTTCTTGTTCAATCATCTTTAAAAGTCCGTCAACCGAACGCTTTCTTACACTCTCATTATCCATTACTTCGTCACGGAAAATTTCCAATCCCATATCCCTGGAGAACAAATGATATTAACATTAGAATATATACAATCATTCTCTAAATGATTAACTCTAAGAATTTCAAAGCTACCACAAATTCCAATCACCGCATTATCATATAGTAGCAAAATATTTGTTCTACTAAGTTCAATAAACAAAAAAGAGAATGTCTCATATCTTGGCAGATAATTTACAACAGTTTAATTCCCGTATGAATAAACAAGTTAGCCTATCTAACAAAGACGACTTAGGTACAGCATCATTTCCTGAAATGAATCCTATGAAACAGATTACCTAACTTTAAGAGCAATCACACTGAAAATCGAGTAACTTTGCTCCTCGATCTTTTGATATAGCCTGATATTTGCTTAGTTATCAGGCAAAAAAACAATATTATACTGAAAGTGTAGACTTACCACAATGAAATAACAGTAGGATTATGCAAAACGAAGGTGCGATCTAGATAGAGAAAAACGCTGCGGATATTAATCTGAAATAAGTAAACAAGTACATTTGATCATTTAATTACTTAAAATATATGAGATGGTCGACGAAAATGAAAAATGCCGCATGAATTCCTACGCTCTTTCAAGTTTAAAACCTGCACCACATACTAGCAACAGGAAACACGATCATTATTACATCATACGAAATCCAAAGAACAATCACCCCGAACATTTGAATAATCCTTGGACACAACTAAAAAGTCTTGAAAGCTGATAAATGACAGATCATCCGAATCATTTGAAATCGTGAGTAGCTGAATGACTTACCAACTGTTCACAATATTCAAGCCAAAGAACATTAAGATTTTGGAGGAATAAAGATGTAGAATCAGAAACATCCAACAAAATGTGGAGTTCTTCCACGATGTACGAAAAAATGCACGTTTTTAGCTTGTTATATATCTTCACCGCAGCACTGTTCGTGCATAAGAATTCGACAATCTGAAAATTCACAGTAATAACCGGATTTATATGAAGCCGACCAATTAGTAATGCTCAGTTGTTGTTCCATCACAAAGATAGGAAGAAACTTCATAGTATCCATTACAGCAAGAAGAAAAAAAAACTTCCCAATGACTGTGAAAAAAATGACTGTGAATACAAATACATGTTTGCATGGAACTAATATGAAATGCAAATTGGTACCTTAACTTATACCGATTTTTGGCATGTGCAAATCAATATTGCTAATATAATCCTGTATTGTTCGTGTGCAAAAAATTCTAATAAATGTCCCAAAAATTAAATCTGATGCAATAGAATGAAGGAAAATTGGTTGGTAAATCAACGATTACCTCATACAATTGCTCCAAAGACGTTTCTGCTTTCTTTTTTTTCTGTATTGAAACAACGGCTTCTTCCAGTGGACGCCATTTTGCTTCAAACGGATCGTTTTCCTTGCATAATGGACGTTCTGAAAGCAAATAAAAGCTTCAATTTAAATAAAAAGACTTGAAAAAACAGAAATATGTGAATGAAGTCTGCATTTTGCTGCTGAACACTTAAAGACAATGAAATGCACTGATTATGCTGCATGATAGTGATAGTTGAATGAAGCAACTATCCATTAACTTCTTCCGATAAGAAAGGCAATGTTGTGCTACAGTGTCATTGTTCGATTTTTTCCAGCAAGCAAAACTGACTAGTCGATCACTGTCATTTGATTGATTCTGCATTTTGCAAAACTCATAAACTAACGTTTGAAACCATGTATGATTAATTTCTTGGCATTGGTTGGTTGTGTGATGTCACCTACAACAGAACGACCATTTTTGTGAGGTGTGCCAATACGATGTTGTTCACTCTTCTCTCGTGCTGTTGATGGACCAGCGAGAAATGCCGCTGGTGATGTGAATCGTACCGTATTTTTCCCCGAACGGTGGTTCGAAGTTGAAAAATTAGACGGTTGTGAGGAATTCAAGCTACTTGTATCGCCGTCAGTGCTTTCTTGTGTTGGCGCTTCATCCATAGCTAGCGATGTTGTTGTCGTCCCTTTTGGCAGCTCGGCCTTCAAACCCGTCCTTGCCGATGAAGATAAAGTGCTGCGATGACGTTTTGTTTCTGGTGGCTATAAATGATAAAGTTTTATTGTAAACTAGTCCTTTGTTACCGCTCCTTAATCCATAGCAGTCATATCGTTTTCAGGAGTAATTCGTCTCATTCCTTATTATTTATCCTTTGCTAATATAAAAAGCCTTTCCGCAACGCTAGGAAATCTTGAGAAAACTTATGCTTCAAACAGTATCACTTTAATGATACCAATGACTGATATTATATACCACTTCCAGAAGAGCCAAGGGGAAATGAGTGAGCACCCCTAAATATATCGCATCTTAGATTCGACGAACTATTACCTTAACCAGATAAAGGATAAATAGTTCTATCAATGATAATTGCTAGCTATGTTTACTGAGAAATCTATTAATACCCAAAATTATCTTTCCTTATCTGTGCTTTAACAAAATTTGGAGTAAAATCCAAATGTTATAAACTAATAGCAATGCCGGCATTGAAAAGTAAAAAAGAAACAGGGAACCTTGAATTCGTCCAAATTTTTGGGCTCGGCAAGCAGTGAGGACGAGGTTTTCCGTATCGTCTCTTTTCCTGGAGATTTCAAATCATTTTTCTTTTCTTTTTAAACCATAAATGCTGAAGATATTGAGTGCTTTCAAACTGTTAATCACTAACCATCATGACTAGTATCCAACGTTAAGTGTTTAACTAATAATATAGTGTTTAACTAATAATATTTACAATGATAATGCTATAGTCATTAATCATTTTGAATTTTGAACAACCAATCCATTCGGAGTGATAGCAATGTCAATTTCAAAATTATCATGACTGCTGGGAAGGTTTGTCGATGAAAAGTATGTGAAATCAGAGCAAGTAAGAATTCCGAAGTAAAGTTTCGAAATATTTATAGATGCTACAGTTCGTTGAATTTTTTGTATTTCGGTTTTACAAATTATACAAAATCTTATCTGTTGGCAGGTATTCGTTGTACTTAAGTCTTCATAGTTGAACTTTAACCAAGATGATAAACAGAACTTACTATCTGCCGATGAGTGTTGTGTTTCCGCTCCCGGAATGAAGTTAACCGGAACCGAAGACGATGACATATAAACAACGCGCCTTCACTTGAGCGCAAAAAAATGTTAATCTGTAACGATTACAGAACGCTTCCAACGAAATCCTGGAAAAAAAAATTACAAAACAATAAGGTTAACAAATCTTAAATTCATCAGTGAACGGCACCGCAATGCTTCCTTTCAAGCTACTTTATATATCGAAAAATTTCACACAAAAAACTTCACACACGGAAAGATATCGGAATTGAATGCAGACTAAAAAATTCAATAAAATTACGACATAAGAGAGTATATCAATGACTTTGTTTTAGGCATAGCATAAGAGATCTATTCTCGTTCTGTATAATCCTTCAACCTGATACAAAGGTTTACGTGAATATTAATTTACTAAATCCTTTGCAACTTTCACTATCCTTTAAGTAGCAGTGTGCACCTTTTTGATCAATAATACTGTCTGACAAATATTTGAAAGGTACTGCTATTAAAATAAGAAACATCTGGCCGTAATTCAGATTATTCACTGTGAAATTATTAAGTTAATCAATAACTGGCTCACTTAAACCCATCGAAATAGGCCGCAGTTTGCTCATTGTGTTTAATGACGAGCTTGTGAAAGGGATCAAAAGGCCAAAGAACATCTTTTCCACAATCATTAAGCAAACCGATAATTCCCAATTACTAGGAACGACTATTTGTGTTCTATTGACGTGATCAATTCTGCTTCCAAACGCAACCGTCAGGAATCCATTGACAAATATGTGTGTGATCTTTTTCGTCTCCAAATAACAAAGCAAAGTATGCAGATTGCGCAGTTTTACATTATGCAGTACGTACATCACATCATTAGAAATTCGTCTAGGATGCAAAGATCTGAATTTAGTCAGATGAAATCTTATTACCTTTTTCACCTTTATTAACATTTCTCTTAACCCTACTCCATCCACAAGATAAATACATTACTTCCCAATCCTAATAAAATCCGAATAATGAGACCATTTAACCGACGCATTTCACGGATACCTGACTTGACTACCTTCCATTACTTCAAATAAAGAGATAAAGAGATAAAGCTACAGAATTCCGCGACACAAGAACCCACTCCACTGCATGATATATAAGTTAAGGTGGAAAATGTATTAGATAGTTTGGCGGGATAACTTTACTTTACAGATTTTCCCGACAGTTTTTGACGAAATCCCAGCTGTTTCGGTGACATCATGGAGAAGCATACTGGAAAGATAGTTTTACCATTTCTGCCAACAGCATCCCTCATTCCATGCTCCCATCCAATAAAGTCTCCCAGAAGCAGTTTTGTCCTCCTGTTGTGTCCTCGATACCCGGTTTCCGAAGTCGGGAAACGATAACTTGTTTTGGCAGGCTTATACACCCACATCCAGGTCATCCATACCACCCGTCCGCATCCTATTTGCATTTCATCCTAATTTACCTGTCTTCCTTCATTGTACGGGATGGGCCGTAGGCCGTAATATAATTCAATAAGGGGAGGGAGCAGCTGTGGTTTGACCTTTCTTTTGCTTCTCGCTGCTCAATCTTTTCTCCC